AAAAAAAAAAAAAAAAAACACCAACACACAGTCTACAAACTTTTGTAAGACACAATTTTCTGAAAACAGCATCTACCTGCAAAGGAGTGGACATTTTTGAAAGAGCAAAGATGACACTACCTTGAACAGTGTACAATAAAACAAGCTTCTTTATTCCCACCTGTCTGCATGAATCATCTTCATCAGAAGATACACAAAATGAGGCAGTTTATCATGAAACGGTATAGTAATCCATTATACACCTTCTGGTAACGTTAAACAGTAATGCTCTGTGCCAGAGAAAAGACACAGACACTAACATACTTGAGACAGCTTTCACCAATACTGCTCTGGATCCATATACCAGCCTTCAAAGGCTAATTTGTTCAGAGTTATTCCAGCAATACAAACAAATGAACACTATTCCAATCACCAGCTAAACAAGCCAACTCTCTGCTGTAACAGTTCTTCCTTACTTCAAGGCACTGAGCCCCTATGCCACAGCAGAAACTGCATAGTGAACTGTAAACATTTGTGATTGCAGAGCATGCAACTCAACTATGCTCAAAATTACTATTACCACTTTAACACTTCATGTGATAAAGCTCAACTCCTTGGACATCATTTTCAAATCAACACAAGTTTTCCATTTTCTGCTGCAAACAACCCAGAATCCTCTGCACACGTTACCATGGCTTTTCAAGGAAAACAATACAGAGAACAAACACGAGGCAGTTCAGTATTAACAACTAAGAACTATTTCTGTGCAGGCATTAAGTCCAAGCACACTGCCTACAGCTGCATCAGTTTTCTGTAAACACTCAACTTTCAGGCATTCTTTACAAGAGTCCTAGGCACCTGCTGATTTGTGTACTGCGTTTTACATCCAGACTGTCACCAACAGAACAGTCACAGGACAACAATTCTGAGCCTGTGGGAAATTGGCATCTGCAGAAGGCAAGATGTAGAATTCAACAAGACAAATATGCAGAAACATGAAGAATTACACAAGACAAGACAGACTACAATTGTTTCTAGACTGGAGTAGAAATAAGTACAGTCCTTTCCCCTCACACCTGCTCATCACTCTAGTATTTAGATCATTAAAGTCAATGGAAATTAAGGGCCACCCTCAACAAAACAGTTGATGCCAAAAGACTATAGATTTGACCATGAAGAATCATCGCCCCATGTATTCACTGGCCAACAGCCAAATAGCTGCACAGTTCTTTGGTGGAGGTTGGCCAGGAGGACCAAGCTTCCAGCCAGCACATAAATTCAAAAGATAACCTGTGAGATCAAGTCTATAGAACAAGTCCAGATACTGGTGATCAGCAAGAATGTCCTGAAATAAGCTTATCCCTTGATCTGCAGAAAGACAACATGTCAGCAGATAAGGATATGAAAAGCAAAATAGTCAGGTGGGGAGCAGCTGGCTCCTTGTACTAACTGGAACCCACTATTCAGTGCACTGAATTTCATCTGAGTGGGTCAATTGTCGTGAAACACCTTTTTAGGCTGACCTATAAGTGCACCTCATCTTCCAGGTAATACCAAACTGCAAACTTACAATAACCCCAAATACACAGTGTTACTAATTCAAGCATGCTCTAGGAAAAAAAGAGACAGGAAAAAACTGACCTGTCAATAAGAAAGTTTGATTTTGGATACACAGGTTTGTGTAATTTCTAAGCATATGCACTACTGCAATAACAGTCCAACAGGCACTTTGAAGATGAAGACCTTCTCTCAAATTCATGAAGTAAGATTTCAACTATTCTCAGAAATGAGACAGTGGATTCCTTTAAAGAGCATCCAGAAAGATAGCAGCTCCTGAAGCACTCCTGGGAAAGCAACAAAGAAGCAAAGTCCTCAAGTAATCCAAGTTCTTCTACTTTGCTTAAACTAAACATTCATTTTCCAGATACAAAACTGATTTCTTACTTTCTCTATAAAAACAGTTGGCATTAGGAAGTCCAGTCTTCCTCTTAACACTATCATATTCATTGTGATTTTGCCTATTCAGATATCAGAAAAGTTACTCTCTAAAATTGTTTGCCATATTAAGGTAAGGTAAGTCTTGTATCAGATTATCACCATCTCTTGCATTTCTACGTAGCTGCAGAATAGACCTATCTTGGGGTATCAGAGAACATAGGCTTCCAAAGCTTAAACCAAAGGAAGAACACACATAGGTTGTCATACAGGACAGAAAAAAAAAAACAGTTTGCTAATTAAAACTTCATTAAAAGTAAAGTGAATGCATTTGAATGCACTTATTTTTGGAAGTTACATAAGATTAGACTAAGTAAATGTTACCTGCACCTTGGAAATACACCTCCATCAAGTGAAGTGAAGTCTTAAAAGCTTTTAAGACACCAAAATAGTTGCACAAGAACACTACTTCAGATAAATTATTTGACTTGCAAGTGAAGTTAGATGGTAGCCCATGCCCTTCTCAGGCTGATTTTGTTCATGGGGTTCTCCAGATGAAGAGGTTAACTGCACAGCACATTTCATAGTCTTAATTAGTATCATGGTTTGATTTCTCTGCCTTCTAAACATACAGCAGTAAACAAATTCCTGACAGGAAGACTGACAGTGTTTTGCCATTAGTTGAGCAAGCATTTTCCACCACAAAAGGTGCCCAACAGCAAGTTGGGCCTGTGCACTGCACATTCTAAGATGAGCAGGAGAGAAAGAGATGGGTCTGTCCTTTCTGCACTCCAAGCTCCCTCACGAATGAGCTTTGAAATAAGGAATGGGGGGGTGCAAACTTTACGCAGTTTACTTATGTAATTATCAAATATTGCAAAGGATTATAACTATTGTTGGAAACTAAGATGTCTGTTAAATCAGTTTCCCTCATGGCAACAAAATACTGAAAACACCACCAAAGCTGATAATACAACCCACATCGAATATTCCTTGTAGTGAAAAGCAGACAAGGTTTGGTAGAGTTCAATGCGTGTTTGAAAGGATCATAAACAGTGGTTTTGGTAGCCAAGGCAAAACTGCTGAAGACAGGTACTTTATGGATTTGACTTAACCACTTTACCAGCCATTATCTTAAAAGTAAAGCAGCCACTAACTAAAATAAGAAAACACAAGGAATCATAGCCTACCAAATTCACTAGGACAAAAGGATCCATTTCGGCAGCCTCCTTGGAAAAGGGCATCATATCTTTTAAAAAGATTACCCTGTTTGGAGGAAAACTTTAAAAAGCATGTATGAAGTTTAAGAAAACAACAACAACACACCATAGCAAAACACACACACACCCCACATTATGTGCAGCTGATACAGTCAGAATAGTCAGTAGAAGAGACCAAGGTATCAAATGAATCCCATTCTTGCAATCTTGGGAACAAGCTTGAGCATAGCATTTCTCCTTTTCTTCGGGAATCTTTAAAAAGTATTTAAAATTGCCCAGGATTAAACTGTAGGAGATCAAGGAGTGAGACCTGAATCCAGCTTGTGCCTTGAGATACAGAACTGTCTGGAGATGAGAACAGCCACAAAGACCTTGAATCATGAGTGAAGGCCTAACATCCCCTTTCTGTAGAACACCATTAAAACTGATGAGACACCATAAAATTGTGTCTCCACGTGCACGAGACAGTGATTTAAAATAAATAAATAAATAATAATAATAAAAAAAAAAAACACCACACACCCCCACAATCCTCAAGAAGATTACTTCTGAAAAATATCCAAGAGCCAAATCAATACTTTGACCAACCATGTATTAGCAGCATATGGGTATGAATTCTGGTACAGCTTCCTACTGCCATGTTAGCAGTAGTAGTACTCAGTACAAGCAGCACCAGTACTCAAGCACTCAGTACAAGACTCACTCTGCAAGCTACTGGAGTTGCAGCAAGCTACTGGATAGAGAAGTCCCAGGATCTGTTGTGAAGACACCTAGAAGTTCTTTAATCTTCAGTCTTTGCTATTTCTTACACTATTGGGAATCAGGTTGTCCTGAGAGGTTAAGTCTCCTTAAGTCTCCTCTGGAGAGACTTGAAACCTGCCTGGATCAACCAACCAGAAAAATTGGACTAGATGATCTCTAGAGGTCCCTTCCAACTTTAATCATCCTGTAATTCGTTAAACACAGACCTGCAATATACCCAATTCACCAACACGAACAAAACTGTCCAGAACATGTCAAAACTGTGTGCAACACATTTAAACTAGAGCTTTTATCTTTCTACTCAGTGTTTTGCTCTAGGAACAATGAAGCACAGTAAGAAGATTTTAATATGGCCAAGGTGTCAACAACCTTATGTCAACATAAGGTGTATGCCAGCCTTTTTTCAGTACAACAGAGCTCAAGGGTTGAAAATTGAAAGTGAGATATAAAACAATTTCTGCTATTTGCCCTTTCACTCTCCTTAATCATAGGTATCCATATGATAATTTAAGCAAATTTAAATGACTGGTCTAAATACACGAGCGACTTGTGCTACAGCTGTTAAAGTGCTACTACAAGACATGATGTACTGCTTCTCATTCCTCAGTTCATACTTAAGTTCTCAGACAAAAAGTGTGTATTCTAAAGAAAACTGACATAAAAGCTGCAGTGCAAAGCTGTTTCACTTAGCCTTTTTTTTTCCCAAAGTACACTTTTCATTTCTACCCTTCATAAAGTTAGTTTTGTATCGGCTGGAGATAACAAATTCATACTTCCAGAATTAGTCAAGCAAATTTCATAATTATCAGCTTTTAAAAGCCTAAGACTTCTTTCTAAAGACTCAGAATGTCTAACCCAGAGAATTTAAAGACGCTTTTAGCATTCGCAGTGCTCATATTAACCAGAATGAAATGCAAACAACTCATTTTTTGCATGCATAATCCACACTAATACAGCTAAACTCCTTCAGTCTAGTGACATCTTTTGTTTTGTACTCTTTTACTATGTGGTTTAGAAAACTGTAAAATACCAGTTGAAAGCTTAGTACTTGTAAAAGAGCTGCAGATGGTGGGGGGAGGGGGGCAAATCACAGGACCAACATACCTGTTATTTTATCTCTTACGAGCTTGCAGGATTCAATCTCACCAATGCTGCCAAACAGACTCTTCAGCTCCTCCTGTGTCATGTTCTGTGGAAGGTAGTTGACGATTAGATTGGTTTTGCTGTCTTCCGTATTTCCCAAATCAACTGGTGATGAGCAATTGTTTATGGCAGTTGAACCATTGGCTGTGTTATTGCATGTTGGTCCATTAGACAGTTGTGTTTCCATGGCAGCAATTACCTGCTAAAAAACACAGAAAATAGGAACCATCAAAATTCATATTTCATAATCACTAGGGATACTCTAGGCAAAAATCTAATAACTTGTCACTATACAGAAATGGCATTGTCATGTTTAGCATGTTCTCTACATGCAAAGGAAAAAAAATAAAGAAAAAGAAAAACCTGTTAGTCAAGACTAGTTATTTTTAGAAACATAAAAGGAAATGAAGTTGTCACCAGAAATATCTGAGGAGTTATCTGAAAAAAGCATATAATAATAGCCAAAACCTGATTTCTGCCCTCTCCACAACTTCCTCATTTAGGGGCATCCTAATCTTTCTGGTATAGAAGTTTTCACACAAAGCTAATTAGTACTGTTAATTTACAACCAAGGACTGAAGTGACATGTAGCTTCAAAATGACATTTTTATCATTTTTATCATTATCAAAAAGACAGTGGATATTAACTGTGTCCTAAGTATATTCCTAGTAAACTTTGGAAGACAGCAAGATTAATGATTTAACAGATGCTTTAGAGAGCTAAATGAATGTGCTTTGATGGAAAGAATTCCTCCTTGAAAACTCTTAAGTCAATACACTGCTTACACTGATTTGAAACAGTTTTTAATGCATTTCATATTTGATTAAATTGAATTGTAATGGGTTTAAATTCTTCCCTTCCCCACCAACCCAAATCATTTGAATTTGATATTCTACTTGATTTACTGTTTCACATCAAAGTGAGTGACCATCACTATAAAAAGTCCTGTATTTCATCATGAAATATCTGACTGAACATTTGGCAGATACAGTATCAGTCATTTAGAAAAATGCCCAGGATTTGCCAGTTGAAGAAAAGGCACTTTGAAATCTCAGATACTCACTGAGTGGTAGTGAGCAAATACAATAGCTTTTTAATGGTGACCAAATATCCCAGACTTAGCCTACCCAGTTAGAGATAAGCTACAAAAGGCAATGGACAACAGGAGAATCCGTAGATTTGTTACTCACTAATAGATACTTCAATACAGAAGAAAGACTGATAAAGACAGTTGAATTAAAAAAGAATCCAGTACCTGTAAGTCAACTTCATAATTAATTCTCTAGACCGACTTTTCTCACATGGAAAAGCCTATCTCAAAAAGTCATAGACTAATTTAGGTTGGAATTGACCTAGATTTTATCTAACTCCCCTTTCTAGAGAGGAATAACCGATTAATGCATACCCAAACAGATAAACTATACTCAGCATCTGCAAACCTGAATTTTAGTAACTCTCCTAAAAATATTAGATAGGAGTTGGTTCAAGTGACTTGAACTGTATCTCTGGCATTCCTCAAATGACATTTTTATGTTCTGCATGCAGAGATATTCTCCAAGAAATTACTGTAGTACAAAGAGAGAAAGGGAAGATATTTATTTGGTCTATTACGACCAGTTCTCCTGAATAGCTGGGATAGCTGGTCTTCCTAGGGTAACCTGCTTCTGGCACTGTGACCAAACAAGTGTGCTGTGAATGTTGAGAAAATAACTTTTTTTCAAAGCACTACTTTCTCTGGCAGAGCTGATGCTGAGCTCTAACTGAAGTTCTCTATGATTACATTAAAAAAAAAAAGTGTTCATTGAACAAAATTAGCAAGCTTTAACAGGAACAACAAACAATCCCCACTTAATTGCACATTCATTTTGATGTTCAGGTGGCAAGAATGAAATCCTAAGCCAACACTCAAGTGAACAGCTGCAGTAGCCTGGGTGTGCTGAAATTACAGCATTTCTCAGCTATAAAGCCATCTGGTCTGAATAAAGTGATACTAATAACTACAAATTACAAATAATGCATATTTCCATTGATAGGTTGAATATAACAGTTCACAAAATAAACCACATCTTTGGCAGTTACCACTTTTTTTTTCACCCAGACGTAGTTTAAGCAATAAATCTACAAGTTTTCAAACAGTTTCTTAGAATAAAGATTGTAAGCATAGTTTTAAAAATAGTAAAAGTCAAAAATATACAGTATATACAGGTTTTTAAAATTACTGCAAATTAGTATTCAGACCATACCAAAACCATTTTAGTACAATACTACTCTTAGATTATCCATTGAGTGTTTTGAATTAGCACTGAATATAGATTGACATTAGAAGAAAGGCAAACTACTGCAGTTTGATTTCTACAGAAGATCATCGTATTAAAGGAAAAAGTGGTCGTAATACACCAGCGTGCTCTAGGCCCTGACCAAATAGGGACACAACCTACAACTTCTAATGAGCAGAGTTATAAAGTGCCGAATGAAAACTTGAGGAGTTTGGTATGGCCTCAGCACTATTAGCATGTTTTAAAAAAGAGTAGCCTACAGAATTTAAGAAAAATCCCACAGACCCCAGTCCAAGGCTCTGCTGCCCACGAACCACTTCTAAGCAGAGAAGCCACATCACACAGTCTGACTGCCATGTTAGTTTGGAGTTGCCGTCTGCAATATGGACACAAAAAGTACCATATGTTAGATTAGCAAGAGAATGCAACAAATCAGTTTGTACAAATTTACAGTATTTGTTATGTATTAGTATTCCCAGCACGTCCATGCAGTGTGGCTTAATGGAGTTTTAGGCAATTCCAATCTAAACTGTCCAAAAACAGTTCAACAGTTCAAAAGTTACACTTCTTGCACAATTTGAGATGCTTCCTTTTAGGAGGGCATTTATAAGACGGCACAATCTAATGAACCCCAGCATCTAGCATGGAAGCTATCACAAGAATCACACCATACCTAAAAGGAGCCACAGCACATTTTTCCGTATCTGCAAGATGGAAGTAAAAGGAGAAGAAGAAAATGCTAAGGGTAGATTTTTCCATTAGTGTGTAAGATGATCATGCACCATTGAAAATATAAACTCCCCTTACCTGCCTTCTGCAGCCCACAAAACACAGAACTTGAGAGATCAACCACTTTGCTAGAACCCATTCTGTTCTTTAAAACCATTACGACTAAGTTTTTAAAAGTTAACTAAAATCTTGCACAGATTGTGTCCAGTTTTGCAGTAGTTTGCTAAAGCATATTAGTTGACATATAAATGGCAACAGCCAACAGAAATCACCTGACCAATAATTAGGAATGCAAGAGGTAGTTCTTCATAAGGGTACTTGCTTCCAAGGAAACTACTCCCTTCTCCACCTTATCTCCGTTAAACAAAAGCTAATTGCAAACCCAGTTGAATTTGAAGTGAACAGTGTGCTAGGAGGATACCAAACCTAATGGGCCATTTGCAGCTCATTACAAATAGCTCAGGTGTTAAATATAGCCATGCTAAAGGTAGGAAAAGGAAAGACTCCTACCTGCATTGCCACAGTTCAAGATTAATGCAAGCCTAATCTAGTCTTTTTGCTCTGTAAGCCTTGTTAGTAGATGAGAAGTCCAAAGTTTGCATCTAGCCTAATTAAGGGGGTGGGGAAGATACAGACTCAGAAGTTAAACCCATACAAGTTTATGCAGTAACTCCTGGTTGCCATAAAAATACTTTTGATATAATTCAAGATGGTTTAAATGCTTTAGAAAATAAAGCACAGCTAGCAAGATTGTAAGTCAAAAAGGTAACAACACAAAAGGTAACAAAAACCAACAAAAGCCCCAACAACATATTTCATTATGTAAGATACGCAAGCATTTATGCACAATGAAAAGCTGTAACTGAACCTGGATCCTAGCAGCATCGAGCCAAAGCTGCAAGGCTCAAAGCTGTTGAGATGCGATGACAAAGCAGGCAGGACTGAACAGTCACCTTTAACATCCCAGGAGCATGGGATGGAAGAGACCTCATTCATCACAGCTGTGGTCAAAGCCCCCCAGCCATGTGCTCTGCTTTGCATTTTGAATGTTATCTCATCCACCTCTATACATCCCTCATCATCTTGTCTTAAAACAATTTCACACCTATTTTCATGTATGGAATACTTGCATACAACCACTGTTTGTTGATTCAATAAAAGAATGGAACCAGATTGGAAAAAAGCACATTCAGCACTAGAAGTTACCACACATTTGCTAGTAGTCCAATTCTGCTTTAAAAATAAGTATTTAGATATTTTTAATAGTATCTTTAAAAAGATGAGGTTCATTCTTCAAACCAATATTGCAGTAAGGACAATTTAAAAAAGCCTTTAAGGCTGCAAGAACTAGTACTCTAAGTACTCATTAATATATGGTTACGCTACAGCTCATCTGAGGCAGCTGTTGAATTCAGTATAAGCAAAGGCTGCTGGAAAAGAGCATCCCAAACTTCTTTATGGGTGAAGATACATACAGGCAGCCAGAGTGCATTTAATACATGTTTTGCTTTTCAGATCAGACCAAATCTTGTTGCTTACTCCAACAGCTTATTCTGCTGGCACAGATTGTGCTTGGTGAGTCTGAAAATTCAAGTCCGATAGGAACAGGAATCTCGGTTGGTAGATTAACTGCTGATTTCGATCAACACAAGACAGCATTTCTCCATTAAAAGCCTTATCTACATAGACACACACCCCCTACTAACTTGTGTCATTCCCTCCGTTACACCAGTTAAAAACAACAACCACACTCACTTTCTATGAAAGATACTTCAACTTCTCATAACAAAGTGCTCTCAAAAGCTTTTCTTACAAAATTATTAAGAACAGTAAACTGTAAATCAGAAAGCAGAGTAGTCAAAGTACACAGTTTCCTTCTAAAGCAACTAGGTTAGAAGCATTTTCACATTGTCTCTTGCACTCATCAGTAAAGAAATAGAACTGCTTGACCCTAACATATTTCGGCCTTCGCGAAGGCCAGAAAAATCAGGAAGTGAAGAGGTGGAACATGGATATGAAGATCCGTTACATGGCATGTAAGCCAAACCCGCCTGGATGCTGCCTTGTGCCACGTGCTCTAGGTGTCCCCATGTGTGCAAGGGGGTTGGACTAGATGATCTCTGAAGGTCTCTTCCAACCTTAAGCATTCTGTGATTCTGTGTGTGAAAAGGATTCATCCTGGTTAAGTGGTGCTACCTAAGTTCCCCTATAGAAGCTTTTGGTGAGAGAAAGAGGCAGCTAGACAAGCCTTGCCTTTTCCAGGTGGGCAACAAGGCAACTGCTGGGAGGTTGGAGGACAAATGGTCATGAGTACCAGCATGAGGTGTGCTACCAGAGAAGCACTTGGTAGTCCTCAATATCCTTCTTTCCTTTCAGTGCGGTAGAGTTATTCACTGAAGGTAAGAATTTGCAGGGAACAGTGGAAATGTATACCTACAAAGAAAAGAAAAAGATCTGCACAGAATATGCAGAGTCTTCAGAAACTGTTAATGTTCCAGCTTGCTAGCATTCCTAAGCCAAAACAACCTGTGGGATGCCCCAAGTAATGCTGCGCTGACTTAAACTGGTTTCTTTGCCCTTAAAATAGCAGCATTAAGGAACTGCAAACAGTTTTGCAGAGTCATAAATACAGCATGAGCAGTGTTACCTAATAATGGACCAGTCTAGAAAAGATATAAGAGGCACCAGCAAAAGCATAGGCTAATTCTTGGGAAGGGTCCTTTACATGGGGGAAGACAAAGATGTACCAAAAAGCTTAAAGTCCCCTGGAAACATTCCTCTGTTTCCTCACGCATACACCATACATCTGCATTTTGATAAACTATCAGTTCAAGACACATTATCACACAACATAAGTAGTTATTCCCAGAATGAGCCAGCATTAGTAAGCAGCATTAATAAGCATAGACAAAGGATGGAAGAAAAATAAAAGTCCAAGATATCCAAGAAGAAACACTAGATTCAAAAATGCTAATTAAATGTCAAGTTTGTCTTGCCCAATGGTTCACCAAACTATGCTTGGCTCACAGACTGCCATTCATTGATATTACCAAGATATATAAAAGAGGTATCACTGTCCCTGTTAGACTAGTTTTATTCAGCTATGTCATGTATTCAATGATTCAAGCTGGTCTTATACACCGACCTACTATTGCGAATTGTCTCCCCACATCGATCAACTTGATCGATCCTTGAAGCAAGACTATTGTTTAAGAGAAGCAGCACACAGAACTTTCAACTGTGCAACACTGTTTAGAAGACCTAGCCAATTACATCAAAATTTTTTACTTTTGCTCATGTAAATATTGAGCTACACTGTCACCATCTCACATGCTAGACAGCCCGTTATTCAGAGGCTGCAAGTCATGCAAAACAATCCATGCCTTTAAGAAGCATATACATCCTGCAAGAAGTTAAACTCCAACAGTCTTATACTAGAGACAGCTGCATGTGCAGTGCTCTTGAACATGCTAGAAGTAATGGAAAAGACAAAGCCTCCAAGATTCTAAAGAACTTAAGAATTTAACATCTTGAGGACTGTACATCTTGACACCTGGGGGAATTTCAAAGTCAACACTCACATTTAATTGTTCAGTTTTAATTCAAGGCCCTGCTCTCTTTGAAATAGGCAGGTCTCCCACATAAGTTCAACTTCCACCTCATCCTTTGGTTTAGGAGTCATAAAAAACTTTTCCCTTTAGTACTTCTTACACACTTGCACTCTCCTCCCGTCACTTCAAGTACACATAAGAAGCAAAACAGAGTACTGCAACTCTAAAAATATCTAAGCTTAAACAAACCAACCAGCTCCCTGCCCCTCTTCTGCCCCCCGGCTTTGGGGCACCATGCATCAACTTCAACACCTCTCCATCTCCTCCCCTGCTCCATTCCCTGTAGGGGACTAGAGCTAAAAGACATAGTCCCTCCTGGCCCAGAGTTCCTGCAGGGCTACAAAGTCCTACAATGGGATCAGGCAACAGCATATTATCTTCCAGAGAAGAAGCCATGGTTAAGGAAACTTTTCCCCTCTCCACTTTTTATAGCAGCACCAGCCTCTCCTGGCCTCCCAGGAAAATGGGCAGGTTCAAAACCAGACAGTGTCAGGGACCTGCCAGCAGAAGGAAGTCCCAGCAGGTCCACAGTGCCCTCAGATTCTGGTAACTCAACATCTCCATCACAGCCTTTCCCCTCAAATTCCAGGGCAAATCCCCTTGACTTCTCTCCCCAAAAGCATTTCTTTCTTTCTCCTCACAGTTAACCAATTTCAAATGAGAAGTAAGCAAGGAAGAAGTTCCTTAACAGTTAAGCCCTACAATATTCATCTGCTCTCTGTAAGTCCTCCTACCTTTACAAGATCATAGGAGCTGTCTAACTCACACTGATCTGCACCAACAAGTCAGACGTAGTGGCAGAAGATGTGGATTATGTGTAAAAAAAAAACACATCAAACTTTCAGAAGTTTAACTCTTCACCAGAATGTTTAATTGCTGCTTCATGAGGTTAACATGCATTGTATTAAAAACAAAAACAAGAAAACTCACAACAAAAGTTTCTATAGCATAGTACGCACAATCCCTTTTTTTCCAAGTGATAATTATAGTAAATTTGCAGTCAAGTAGATGGGTTTTGTGATTGCTCTCAGAAAAATT